TTTTTTTAAAATAATTATATAGTATTTTTGACATATAAATATACATAAAAGTAACAGAAATAAATATTTTGCATATAGAATTTGTACATCAAAGTGTTAAAACAATTACATGTCACAATAAATATTTACTATATCAAGATATTTACATAGTTTTTATTTTTTATATGAAAAATATTTAAAAAAATAAAAATACACAAGGACCGAATCAATGGCCCGAGTCGACCAGGTCAAGGCCGGGTTGGCCGGGTTTTGACAATATGGATTATTTTAAAGATAAATAATTTTAAGTATGTGTTTTTGTTAAAAATATATCATAATTAATTGTTGTTGTTGATGTGTTTTTGTTAAAAAATAAAAATATATCATAATTAATTATAATTTATAATATAATATGAAATAATTATTATGTTTCATGGAAAGCTAAAGTTTTAAATAGTGTAAAAAATTTTAGGCTCATACTAATATGATATATATTTAAATATTAAAACATAATGTTTTTATATATGTATATTTAACAAAATATATATATGTTATATAGTAAACACCAACTGTTATATAGCCCACAAGTCATATGAAATCCTTATATATATGTTATATAATAAACATGAACTATTAATTATTCTTGTTAATTGATTTTAACTCATTATAAACTGGTCAATTAAAAAATAGTTAGAAATCTATTATTACTATTTAGTTTATTTTAAAATTAATATATGAATATATTCCAACTATAATGAAAAATTATAAAATCATGAATTTTGATAATACGAATTTTTTAGAGATAAATGGGGAACTGGAGCGAAGGGATTGACTAGTCGTCAAGCCCGAACGATAAATGCGCACCAGGAAACGAAACCTACTGTGAAAAGAAAAAGTAACGAATTTTCTCGCTCCAATGCTAGCGTGATACCCGTTTGGGGGTTATCTAGGTCATTTTATAGCGTGTCCTCTCAGTTTTCTTTTTCGGCTGTTGGCCCCGTTTGTATTGGCGATGTTTTTCCTTTTGAGTGGTTATATAATACCTCTTTTATTTTGAAAAAAAAACAATGAAGCATGAAATTTTAACACCTAGGATCCCGAAGCATGCGAGTCTGCCACTTAGGCTCAGCACATTCGAAAATTATATATATGGGGATATTATCTGACAATAAATTTTATTATTCGGGAAATGTCTGAATTAAAATGGTATGAATTTCATTTGGTATGGATAGAAGTGTATTTGAAAATAAAATAAGTAGTATGAATTTTATTTAGTATGTGTATGCAAGTCAATATTAGGTTGATTTGTTATAAAATCAAGGTGATATAATTATAAAGTTTTAGCATATTCCCATAATAATAGTAATTTGCCATAAGATATTGATGATAATTTCGTGATTTGGTATGTATTCATCTTGAAAAATAGAAAAATCATGGAGTAAATATTCGTTAATAAAAATAAAAATTTGTAATTTAATTCTACAGAATTAGTCGATAAATTTGAACGACAAGGTTACCGACAAAAAATCTTCAAATTTGGAGATTAGTAAAATATAGACATATATATAATATACAAGTGATTTATTGCGTAGTCCAAATTTAGGTTCTAAATTTAAGCAAATAAGTAGTTATGGATAATTTACGGGAATATTAACTTCGACGTAAATAGAATAGCCAATTATTTATAATTTAATATACTGACTAGTTAAATTTTTTTATTTTGGATAGTTTATATAAAAATAAATTTATTTTAATTAATAAAACAATATGTATTTTAATATTATACTTATTATTCACATAGCTTTTTATATATATGATAAAATTTACTAAAATAATAAATTTATGGCACCATATGTATTCAAATCGAATTTCTGAATTAAATTAAAGTATTGTTTTTTATGTAAAATTTAATTGTACACAATATTATATATGTTTCGACATGTCATCTCTATATAAAAATATCTATATCTTTTTTATTTATTATTTTTAAAATTATTAATACTGATTACGATCTAAACTCTTTTCAAAAACAAAATAAAGAATAAATAAGTATTGTTATTTAAAAAAAAAGTTTGGTTATGAGTGTTTCGACGCTCTAACACCCATAAATTATCGTTCCAATGATATGCAATATGAATATATAATAGTTATCAAGTAATCCGATCAAAAAAACCATAGATAAAGCACGTTTGCTAAGAAAAACAACCATAACGAATGTACATTCGTTATAACTATTGTACATACGCTATGGTTGTTTTTCGATCAAATCCACCTTAAACGATCGTGCATTCATCATATAATACATTATAAAGATGTTAAACTCGTTATAGGTCTAATTTTAGTAATTTTTAAGTTAAAATAATGAATATACAAAGATTTTACATGATTGTTTAGTATAGAATAGATGGGCATGTGGTAACCGAGCTACCCGACTCGGGTCGATCTTGAAGGAAGGCTATTCGGAGCTTTGTCTACTAAATGATCGTCCAAATCACAAAAATCGAAAATAAAATCCTAAACATTCTAAGCAATTGGTTGGATGGTTGATTAACACTAAACGAGCATTCAAAAACGAGCGATTAACTAAAAGCAAGATCAAAAGACGAGCAATTCGCAAA